ATTAGTTTGTGATGTCATCTCGAAGGTCACTCGAAGAATCGTCTTCGTAAAATTCTCAACCTCCGAGTTAGTCACTAAGAAGATTCTTTTAGTGGGAAAAATTGAGCTTAGGTTATCCAGCCCAAGCCTTAATCTAAACGATTTTTACTTACTGCATTCTCCCCTTACCACTTTCCTATTTAACCTGCTGCTGACACTCATTACTCCGCTTTTTACGACATCATACTTTCAAACTAAAGGAAAAGATGAAATGAGATGCTTCGAAAAATTACTTCGTTAATACTAAAAAAGTATGATTACTCAGTTGTATGGACTTTCGAAGAAAAATCATAATCGTTTCTTAAATAGTTGGATTATTTCGAATAAACAATGGTTCCAATATCATTTTACTGACTTTTTGATTAAGTAAAAAATTTCAACGATACTTGCTATATATGAATAGATTCATCGAACGATTCAATCTTCATCTTTCTTTCATTCGATCATTTTCTACTCCATTTCATCGAATCCGGTATTCGCACAAGGACAAACGCGATATTAAGAAAGTTAAAACGTTTCTTCGCGAATATAATCAAACAACAATTTCTCTTACCTCGCAGTACTTTGCTTTTAGGATAATGCCACTTGCTTGATAAGCAGATATTAGCCTTCTGATGAGTCTGAAAGCACGCTCTTCTCAGGAAGCCGGAAAACTCACTTTGTTACACTAGAGAGCAAAATATAGCTATCTATTTATATTTTATCTAATAAATTTTTTAAACGTCCTAGACCATTTCTGATCTGACTTGTTCAAAAATATTATCTTAAAATCTATTCTCGTAATTTATTTATCGCGTTTATCAAAAACCTTTCCTGAAATTAATTATCCTTGTATATCCTTGAGGTAAATAAAGATTGATTATGTGTCATACAATTATCCACTAATTTATTCGAAAAAATATGAAAGCATTTCGTTTAAACTATATTTGTGTAATAGAATCCGGCATTTTAATTACACGTATATTAAAAATTTATATCGTAAACGAGATGAATGAAATATGTACAGGATGTGTTTATATTCTACGAGAAAAGCATTAAACTCAATGAAATTCTGGAAATACTAGAAAAAGCAACATTTTTAAAGTGAGAATCGAATTTTGGATCTTATTACCAATTATTTCTTCGATCTTGAAAAATAAAATTGTTTTATATATATGGTGAAGTGAAATCGAATATCCAAATGCTTCAAAACACAATATTATCATTGTAGTATGTCGAAATCACAGTCAAGGATAAGTTATAAGAAGACGGCGAGCTATCTATTTTTAGGGTATAATAGTAAATGCTTAAGTAAAAATGTATCGTTAGTTTATAGACAGTATGATCGATATACCCCTACCTGTTAGAAGCGATCGAAACTAGTGGATATGTATGTGAATCTTATGACTACCAAGGGTCATGAAAAGTAAAATTATAAGCATGGTCAAGGAACTAGGCCTAAATTGAATCGTCGTTGGAAATGATTAAGTACCCAATATAAGTATAATTATAACAACAATATTACACATGTTACAAATCCTCCAATTTCGACTTGACTCACTTTTGTTCAAGGAAAATATAATTAAAAGGTTTTTTTTTTATATCTTTCTCTTTAAGTAGTCTCTTTATATCGATCTTGTGGGTTTAATGAGGAGAGAGATAGAGAAAGAGAGAGAGAGAGAGAGAGAGAGAAAGAGAGAGGAATCAATGGTTTATATTGTTAATTGCTTGTGTGTAGAATGATAGTCACTTAGAAAAGGAAAAAAGCGTCCTAGATTGTCCACATAATAATGCATATATGTATATTGTTGGATAGTAATGCGCTTTAAGCAAAGTAAAATACAATAAATCTTTATCTTGAATTATACATTCTGAAATCACAATTGATCCAACTGTACATCATGAAATTCAATATTGAAGTTTAAGTGCATACTTCTTAGTCAGGAACGTTAGAGATTTTTAAAATGAAATAAGAATTATCAACGAAGAGTATATGCAAACGTAAAATCAGAATTGCTAAACCTATTTTTCAATTTTCCTTATTTTCTATCATTTACTCAATTTCTCTTTTCTTTTCTCTCTCTCTCTCTCTCTCTCTCTCTCTCTCTCTCTCTCTCTCTCTCTCTCTCTCTCTCTCTCTCTCTCTCTCTCTCTTTCTTCCATTTTATCTCTTTAACCCCTCTACATCTCGCGAGACCAATTGCTAATGATCCTTGTTGGCGTTCCCACAGGCATACTTCTCGAACCCGTTCTCCATCATATCATTCACAATCTCAGATTAAACCTGCTAATTGCGTCTTTCTATGGAAGTGGTCACAAGTAGAGTTGGTCGTTCTTGATTATTCAAGAGCTGAGATACATTTATTATTCATCAATGATTGCGCTCAGTAAAATGTTTGTATCTCTTTTACTACTTAACAGGCTTTTGATGTCAAATATAAAAAGGCAAAGTAATGTCCTCATATTTAAGAAGATATAACCGGTACTATAAAAACTATAAAATATTTGACTTAATAGCTTTGAAGACAAATCTTTGAATTCATCATCCTATAATAAAAATCTACATATTAAAAAATTAGTACTATATAACGTTATTTAGTACATTTATCTTTCGAGAGATTTAATAGACATAAATTTCGATAATTATTATAAGCTAATTGTATTTAAAGTAGTTTTCATTAATCCATAGATACTTTTATTTCAAAGAAGCTCGCATTGAAAGCTTCATAAGTTAAATTAATCGGAGCACGTATGTCTGCTTTCAATCGATCGTCGAATATCATGATTCTCATTCACGAAGTCGACTTTTGTGTTACCTTTCTTTACAATCTTCGATGATTTGCCGAAAAAGTGGCTGGAAACACGAAACACTGACACTTTTCAACAGCAAATACTTGTTTGATAGTTATAATAAAAAATTCCCGCAGATAATTACGCTTGGCATCATCTTCCCGATTTTTGTACGTAATTTATTATTCGTCCTTCATTTGTGCGACTTAATTCAAACTCTCACGCTATAATCAGCTTTTTTCTCGTTTCTCTCTCTCTCTCTCTCTCTCTCTTCCTCTATTTCTCCCTCTCTTATTTTTCTTCTTTATTTTTCAACTATAGAGAGCGAAATGAAGCAGTACAGCAAAGTAAAAATTTTATACGTTCAGTTTTTTTCTTTTTTATCACATTTGTTCTTAAATCTCGCGACTGTTTTATTTGCCTAGAGCAATCAATTCTCAGCAAATGGATCAATTCTTGATTCCCTTTTAGATCAAGAAGATTCACGGACAAATATTAAATGTCAACATATTCAATTCTTGTGTGATTAAATTAGTTGCATCCAACAATAAAGATTCAATTTTGTAAAAATTATAATTGCATCCATATTACAATTTTTTTGTTTGTATACAAATTTAATTAGATTTTAGAAAACTCGAGAAAATATATTTTTTTTCTGTTTTATTTTCCCTTTTGTATTTCACGAAATGAAAATGACGTACAACAAATTCATTATTTGAACTTGGTTTGGCATTTTTCTATCATGAATCAAATGTTTATGCACTTATACATGTCCATACAGTATAAAAAAAAGATTTAAATATTCAAGTATAACAAAAAGATTTTAACATTCTTGTTTTCGGCAAGCTTAAACTATATGCTCACGTAGCATGCAAAGCTTTACTCTCGCCATAACATCCATGTATCTACGAACTCTACGATTATCTATATATGTTATAAAGGAGGCATTAACTAGATGAAAGTACTTACTTTTTCACAATTCCCTGATGTATGTTCTAATGTATCTACGAACTAGGTCGTACACTGTTATAAACCTAGTGAAAAGAAACGAATAATAGATACTGTAAGCGGGGATTTTCAAGAAAGAGACAAGTCGAGATATATGAAAAAACGTAGAATATGGATTTGTATGCTTGTAAAAGCGTTCAAGAGGAGTTCTTTCATGGATCATGGATAAAAACATGAAGTAGAGCATATGAGTATGATTAATAGGTCAATATCAAGGTTTGCGTACTGATAGCGATAAAGATAAATGATTTCATGAATAATTATCATCCTCTGTCAAAAACATCATTCGTAAAGCGAAATTCGCGATCTTATTTCTACAAGGAATAATAAATCCTCCGAAAATACGTGAGAGCCATTGCGCATATCCGACTCATTAATTTCACTGTCTTGAAATAAACTGAATGAAATACAATAATTAAAGACGATTATATCGAAATTTTGTCAGTCCAAAAATGAAATTTGAATAGGTATTGAATATAGGTGTTGATATTGTATGAACTGTACAGGTTGAAAATTTTTTTGGACAGACTTTAATAATATCAGCAAACGATATTTTTACGTTGAGAGAATTTTTTCATATTAATTCTTTTTTCATTCTCTTTTTGAAAGGATCAAAAAAATTTCCGATTAAATCGTTTCTGAATAATATCTCTTTTAATGTAAATTTATGAAATTCCGGATTTTTTCAGCATATGCAGATATAATATTTCGACCTCAATCAAAGAAATATAAACGTTATAGATTTTTATAATTAATATTTAAAAAATTGAAATATTGTAATTTCCCACTCACATCACGCAAGAACATAATTGCATATATTATAGCACAAAGTAGTACCATTTTCTCGACACTCTCGAATCCGATTCTAGAGCATCTGGCCTCATTCTTTTCATCGTAGATGAAAGAAGAATGGGCAAAATTAGCCATATTTCAGCAGAGCGCTTTCGTTCATAGAAATTACTTTAAACTTTAGTACTTTTTAGTACCTTTCTCTACTGCTGAAGCTTTATTTAACAATAAGAAACGACGAGAACATGAAATCTCAAGATATGTGAGATCAGAATGTAATATAAGTACACGTATTTACAACAACAAAAATGTAATTGCTAACTTTTAATATTTCTATTTTAGCATATACAAAAAGATTTAAAGAAATGAATATATATTTGATTTTATTCCAGAAGCAAAGTGGCGGCGGCTCTTTTAAATAAACACATGCGATTTAATGGTATTTCTGCGGGTCTTACATCATTACCCACAATAGACCAATCGTCACATGATCTTCAACCGGAAGAGCCACCAATCACCAGCAGTAGCAAGATGAAACGAGAGAGAAAGGCAGCCAGAACACTCGGGATCATCATGTCAGCGTTTTTAGCTTGCTGGCTTCCCTTCTTTCTCTGGTAAAGTAATGTTTTTGCATATTTTTTACTTATTCTATATAGATTATTTTATCATAAAGACTGTTAATTACGTTCTAAGAATCGATATAATTATTATACTGTGTTCAATTATTTTCTGAACGCAATTATAGGAAATAAGCCAATAATTCTACTTGCTTTTAAAAAATCTCATAAATTTCTCATCGAACTTATTTAAAAAACTCCGTTACAAAACATATTATCAAAGAAATCGAGTAATCAAGTTATAAAATAAATCTTATTAATAAGAAAATTTTCACAACTTTGTAATTATACTTGTTAAAATGTCCTTAATATAAGAAGATACAGTCGGATTAAAACAATGAGAAATAAAATGAGAAGTTGTACATTGATAAATTATTAAAGTAGATATTAAAATTATTGCTATTATTCCTCTTAACGGACACTATAAATGTTATACAATATCTTATTACTTTTAATAATTTCGTGTTATATGGAGAGAAAATAGGAAAACGGTCGAAATAGAATCATTAATGTTTGTAACTACAGAGTTTTGCAATAGCTTCTTCGAACACTTCCTTCGAGATAAACTTTTCAAGAATTAGAAATGCTCTTTTTTCTCCCCCTTATCCTCCTTTATCTGGAAACTAGCCAATATTAAGTAATATTCGAGAAAATTATCTCGTTTTTGTTAAGTGGATCGAGCATAGATATCCAATTAGCTGACTTTCGTCTTGAAAACATCGTATCGCTTACTATTCACGAATACTGTAATAATTCTTCCAATTTCTGTTCCTAAGAAGGACAAACCTTTTTCTATGGCTTTTATATAAAGAAAAGAAATAAAAGTTAGGATGGTTATCGAAACCAAAATTCCTAAAAGTACGGTAACATAGTAAAGAGGTGAGTATGGCGTGTACAGAGAGGATCGATAGTTTCAAGTAGAAAAAGTAGTGTATTGGAACGATCTGAAGTGGTTTGCGCAGAACACAATATATAAGTCTATCCGTACAACCCAACCTTGATCTATCACAAGTATACGTGTCGGTCCATCGACATATATGTATACGTGTCCACATATATATGTACATTCATATGTATATATATGTGTAAAGTGCTATCTCAAAGCATTATATGTGAGTACTACAAATAGTTACCAGATTGGTCCAAACTACGAATGTACTTTTTTATGCCCATCTTGTCTCATAGACAAGAATTTCGAAAAAAAATACAAATCACTGTAATTATTTCAATCGTTAAAGTGGCTTAAAAAATCGAGTATTATGAATTTATTTGATCTCATGTCGCCGAAAAAAAAATAATGACAAATATTACAAAGATTCTTTTCAAATCTCACTATATATCACTCAATAGCCGTTTTCCTTGTTCTATCTCTCGGTAAATTACTATTTCCTTAATTCTCACTGCTGATAGAAGTTACCAGTTTTTCCTCTTATCTAAATGTATTAGTTCCTGCCATTCTATCAACGTGCCTACTCGTAGATGTATCATCATATCCACATGAATTTAATCTAATACAATTAATGGCACAAGAAATTGATAGCATAGTCGAGTTAACATACACGCGCGTATGAAACTTGTATATATTTTACATGGGTGGATATCATCATCTCGAGACAATTCGAATTGGCTCTCATTTCAATTCTTTTTCGATATTTATCACAGGATTCATAAGGTAGGATAGAAGGAAAGAGAGAGGAAAGAAGAGGAAAGAAGACTTTCTTAAAAATTAGAATCATTTGATTCTTTCACTAAATCAAGAGATTAATCTTATTGATACCTGACAGTGAAGAAATGACTTCTATAAATGTTACAATTTGTTAACTTCCTAAAACATTGTATAAAATAGTTATATGAAGTGTCTCTGTTTGAGACGATCTACGAAGTTCTTTGGCAATTGAATTTGCATTTGTTGTCTGGGACTAAAATTGGTAAACTAATATTCCCTACGTGTCGTATCTAGTAATATCTAGTTCTATTTACACTTAATTCTCTTAACATCTAATTCTTTTATTCAATCTCACCGTGTCGTTCCCAACATTGTTACTTTTTATTAATATAATATAATCAATAACAATGAACGTCTAAATTATATAAAATATTAATAGGATTATTAATTGAGAGAGATTAGTTATTAAAACAATCGAAAGATGAATTTAAATAATCTGAATGATAATAATAAAATACAATACACAGCGAAACAATAAATTTTGTATGGAATTGATAATTAATAGATTAATTGAGCATATTTAAAGAAAAAAATAAAACTTCATTAATCTGTAGTATGATTTGTTATGTTTTCGTTATTTCATCAAACAACGTAAATTGATACTTCTCACTTTGGCTTCTTGTAATACTTGACCTACCTATCTTCTCTTTGTGGTACTTCTATTCCCTCGAACGACCCATATATCGCGAAGGTCACTACTTTGATACGGACTCTTTCAAAGTTGATCGGTCAGTAGCAATGTACAGTACTCATGATATTGCCTGTTTTATTTTCATTAGTTTTTGAAGCAAAAATAAAAAATTAAAGATGAATGCTACAATACTGTTTGAAATTTTTAACTGAACTTGTCCGATAAAAATATCTACACATTTCGACACAGATTTTATTACAGTGGTTTTCAAGCGTAGCGTTTCATTATCCCATATTGCTCCACTTTACGAATAACTTGTTAATGAATGGAGAACAATCTAATGAATTTATTATAAGGAAAAAATAATCTCGAATACTCGTTTATCTTCTATCACATGATAATTTTTTAATAGGCGGGATATCAACGCATTTAAAATGTTTTATTTGAATGTTAAGCAATGTAGAAATTCAATAAAGAAGAACATAAATATTCTTGTCTTTTGTTTTTATCGATAACTATCAATATCAATCATACGTTCTATCTATGTCATATTGACCTTAACTTTAGTTTATACCAAAAATAAATGAACAAAGGTTACGACCATCTTTCTTTTTAACTGAATGACTAAACTTTTATATAAAAACACTTGTATATATTCAAACGGACAGCTCTCATTGGTCACCAATCCCTTATACCATTGAAAAGTTTTTCCAGTTCCCTTATCATTCATTTTTTTGAATTTACACGAAGCTATTTCACGGTACTTCCAGAACAATGTCTTTCACGGTAACCAATGAAAATGTATAAATCGGAGATAGCGATGTCAATACATTTCCATGATTGCTTTTGGCATCGTTGTGTCTTGTCCAGAAAGCGCGAGAGTACGAAGTCGAATTGAATTCCAATAACGTCGTCAGAATAGAATCCTTTAAAAAAGGTATCAAGGAATCGAAATGAAGAAATCGAGGTCTGTTTAATGGTCTGTATCTACTAAAAAACATTCAATAAATCTGTTTCTTTCCTATAATGGAAACAATTTTGAATCATACAAAAAGTTGTTCTCAAAAATCATGATTTGAAAATATTAGCTATAAGTAGAATAGAAATGTTATTAGTTTCAAATATAAATCAAGATATAAACAATATTATATAAGATTTGTCTTTTCTTTATGTTCAATAGGTACATCATCACATCTCTCTGCGATACCTGCGAATGCGGTGATATTGTAGTCGCTGTAGTCTTTTGGGTAGGCTACTTTAACAGCGCATTGAATCCATTGATTTATGCATACTTCAATCGCGATTTTCGAGCTGCATTCAGAAAAACACTAGAGAGTTGCTGCGCAGCAATAGGACCAGTACGAGATCTAAGAAAAAGTCACAAAAAACAAGACTTGGTACATAGCAACGCGTCATCGGAGCTTCACGTTAACAATCAGTTAAGGACCAGTGAAATGACGAACGTGCATATCGAAGCATGCATTTAAATCAATCATTGAGAAATGATATCCTTGAAAAACGAAAAATAACATTCGAAAGAAACGTATAAATATCAAATGCAATATATAAATTAAGAAAGCATTTTCATCATCAGCATTTGGTTCAGAATCGATCGATCTTGAAAATCTGTTTTTGTATATCAAAAATAGGATACGTTTGCTTACAGTATCTTATTAATTGAGATTTTTTTTAATTGTCTTCTCTCTAAAATTGCAAACGAGTATTTACCAAAGAGATAATTATCAATTATTTGATAGTTGTTTGATTTATTCGTGGACAATCATCTCCAAGAATGAATGAAATGAGCAAAAGAATTCATTGGAAACTGTCTGTTATTTTTTTCGCACCACACTGCTTAAAAGAAATTTCTTTGAAGGTACCTCTACATTTTGAATGAAAAATGAAAAAAAAAATATATTAACTGAAACTTTGCAGTCGAGTTAAAACAGATAACAAAACAATTTACACTAGGAGAAACGATATCAAATATCTTGGATACTTACATCTAAATCAAATTATTTTGGTTATCGAGTGAGAAATACAAATCTAAATTCCAAACATCTATCCTAGGGATTCTATCCCGATAGCTCTATCCGGTTCGTAAATAAGGTTTCTGTCGAGATAGATTAATGACCCGATTTCAATAATATGTCAACAATGAAAACGATAAAATCTGAATGAGAGCAATTTTGCAAGATCATTTCTTCTGACTAAAGAAACATAGATATTTATGAATATCAAAGCATGACTATAATCAGAGATAAACATACATATTGAATCTATGCCGTATGCAGTATATACGGTAAGCAACATGGAAGAGGCCATTAAATCAACGCGAAATGAATCTATCAAAGGACCGGCCGTCTCTTTCGAAAGAGGACACCTTCATATCGATCGTAAGCTACCATTTTCGTGCTCTTATTCTCACGTAAAGTTCGAACTAAATAAAAAACTTTTCAACACCCACAAAAACCCTTCAGACCTTTCGCGAATGAGAAGAAGGTAAAGAAAATTCGCAACAGTCGGTACGTTTTAGGCTGAATAATTGGAAACCCGAATGACTTGAAAATTATTTAAGAACAAAGAATTTCAATTTACCAAGGGCATTAATAGTATATGCATACGTCAAGAGCCGTTAATAGTAGGTAAAGAGTGAAATGGTCTATCGTCAAGTCAATCTAAAGTAACTGTCTAATTTTTACTGACACGAGGGGCCCCTCGAAGGAAAATTAAAGGAAAAAGATGGAGAAATCGATTAGGAGCAAATGTATTTTTCGACTGACCAAAAATTGTAAGTAATATTATTGATTATGAATGTTAAAAGATTTAATTAGTAAATAAAGGGAAAAAATGTTCATCTTATACCTAGTCATTTAGCGAGAACGTGTATTTAAAGAGAATGTTAGCGCGAACAAAAACAATGGAGAAATTTTAGTGACATTAAATAAAATATAAAAAATGCGAAGTATTTCTTTTGTACGTGATAGATCGATCTTCTTACAATCAAAGAATATATCATTTTGTATATATACATATATATTTTGTATATATATATATATATATATATATATACATATATATTTTGTATATATATATATATATATATATATATATATATATATATATTGCATTCAAATCTATAACGCTCGAGAAATAGACTTCCATTTTACACAATCAACTTTTTCACATAAATGTGTCTATTTATTGCGCGTAAATATCATATTTCTAATTTGTGTCTTGAATAAAAAAAATATATATATATATGAAATAAAATGAAGAGAGACATAAGAAATCGTTTATCATTATAGTCAATCAATCATTCCGATATAAACAAAAAAGACATGCCAAAAATACATAAAAGAAAAAATTCTTACGTATATATAATATAATGTATACATACATATGTGCATAGCAATAAGATGAATAGGTTGTTTAATTTGATTATTATCGATTATAGAGATTTACTGTAAATTGTTAACTATTACATTACGTAATACCATAATATTTCCTATGGAAAGCTCGTCAGCATTTTAACTGAATACTTTAAATAAGTAATGTTTATCGTACGTTGTGAAGATTGTTTGGGAATTTATTTAACTACTTACTGATCATGATCAATATTTATAAAACGAAATGTAGAAATTCACAAAGACCCGTATAAATATTCGTGTAAGCAGAGAGTACAGAACAATCATTAATATAAGATCAACAACGAGACGATTTTTTCTGAATACATTGAACTAATGATTTTTTTTTATGCAACTGGAACGTTTTTAGAAACTATTAAATCGTTTCACAACTCGTCAACTTTGTATATCCTGTATCTGAAGTTAAACGTATGAGAGATTAGCAATATAACTTAATGTACAGCGTCATAAAATAGGTGTTTACAAAAATGAAGTGGCACTAAAAAAAGACAATTACAATGAATCACAAATGTATAGAAGTAACAAAAGAATTTATTCGTAAATCGAAAAAAATTTATGGGATATTGTATTCTTGGATATAAGGAAAAAATCAATATTATTATTATTATTATTATTATTATTATTATTATAATATGTTCAAGTGACAATAGCTAAAAGAGAGCGAATATTTTTATTTTCTATTTCGCACAGTAAAAAGCATATCGACCTAAAGAAAAATTATTCACACCAGTGTAACAACATGTGCTTGCGTGGACGAGATCTTAGCGTGTTAATAACATCATATCTCACGCAACGTAGAGACATACATCGCATTTCACGAAAAAGAGAATGCGAACCCATCATCTGGAAATTTGTAAATTTGCCCATATAGAAAATTAATAAAAATATTTTAAAGAAAACAATGTCGAAAAAATTTAATCCTTTTTACCGTATATTACAGCTTATCTCTATTTCCGTCCTTCAATAACATATGCTTACATGATATCTCAACCATATGCTAAGCTATTCTTATCGAAGTTAGAAAAGTTTTAGTTAAAGAATCTTTATAGTCATAAAAGTGTGTACTTCATTCGGCAGCGAACGTCACGGGATTCTGAATCGGTGAATTTGAATAAATTGCTCTCGAAAAGTTTGAAGGAACTTCTCCCGTAGTTCTAATAAAATGGTTCTAATAATCCAAGGCAAGAGAATCCTCTACTGAAAATTACACATTCCTTTTTCTTATTATAGTGAGAGAAACTTAATATTTTATCCGGTGCTCGCCTCCATTTACTTCCATTTCCTTTTTAAGAAAATATAAATGAAAGTTACGTTCGAAAATACAGAAGCTCGAAGTAAATTCAAAGCAAGAGTTTTTCTTAATGGTCGTATTTCTAAGCAGAACGCTTGAGATCTCCCGCGTTTTCTCTGAACACAACGTCGTGTCATACTTTATTAATTCTAATTACACGAATATTGTTTCAGTATGCACCATAACATTTACATATTTCGACATCCCTGTATCATTCTATTAAGCGTAGAGCATATGTATTTCCGAGATAGTAGACATATTATTCCAGAAAGTGGTGCAATTCCATGTCTAGGCAGTTTCTACACACTTGTCTACTTTGAAACAATACTTTATTCTCGCAAACGCAATCATCTATTGTTGCGTCATGTAGCTATGTAACCAACCAACAACGGCTGAACTAGTATCATTGATATCCTAAAATTTACCACAACCGTAGGATAGTTAAGCTGTGACAGTTTAAATATTACTGTTTCTACAATCGAAATGAAAATGTTATACTATATTAATTAAAGAATCAAATCGTTCATTCGAAAAATATTCTCATAAGTTTTACAAGATACATTTTACAAGATGTGAGGCAATTAAATTAAAGATAATTGCTACAGGCGCGGTTTTAATTTATAACAAGAATTCGAGCCTCTCAAAAATTCACCTATACGTATACGTAGATATATTGAAAGACTTTCTGTATTATTTCCCCAAAAATACTATAGAGAATTCGAATACTTTCATCATCGATATAGTACGATTCGAGTACAGCTTTGTTGTCGCTGATATTAAATTAGCACAGTTTCATTTCCATCAAATTAATACGCGATATTATGATTAGGGAATACGCAAGTCTAATGAATAATTTCACATTGAATGCAACTTTATATTCGCATTAACAATTACTTTAGTGCACTCCATCCACCCAGCATTACCACCCCTTTTCCACCACTTCCTCCTTCTCTTCTTCCTCCTCTAGTCAAATTATTTTCAACAACACATTTTCATAGAAGACCAGCTGAGCGCCTTCCTTGCACATTATTGTTCCGCAATATATGCGTCCAGAATCACGTTTCTAGCCCGTACCATCAGCATTCTACTTTCTTTCTCTTTTTTCCAGTTCTTTCTATTCCCTACACTTACGAAATGTGAGACACACATTCGATGGCGTTGTATTAAAACTCCAAATTTATTTCAAACCTTTTTCGAGGCGGTCCAATGTATAAAAAACCGACAATTTTGTAATACACATCAACATTTTCCTCTATATTCATAATAATATCTTTTTCCTCTATATTCATGTAAGTGTAGATACATGACAAAGCGGGAAAAAGAAAGCACGGAAAAAGAAAAAGAAAGAAGCCATCATAAAATGAAGAAAAAACGTTATATTTTTAATATCAACTTGATATTCTAATCTATAGAAAAAAAAAACTTTGATTTGAATGTTCTATAATCATTCGTATGCTGGGGTATATCATTCTTGATTTTGTGTTAAATCGCCTAATTACGTGTTATTGGACAATTATAAATACAACGGTGCCAAGAAAATTACATTTCTATTTAATCACGAAAATAGAATATTTTCAATCAACTCAATGAGTCAATAATTATTTGTCTCTATTGCAGATCTCATAATTTTTGAAATATATATGATAACATATATAAAATATTATAAATTATAGATATTTGCATGACTAATAAGACTTTTAAATAACTATTATATGATAATTATCACATTATAAAATGAAAGATAACTTCTAGAAATAAATTGTTCACAACTACGTCAACATAATATCAGAGTAAACTTGACAAATACACTGACAATACCAAACGAAGTGAAGTATCGTATCCAGAGAACTGTCTTGCATAAATTGAGTTAGGTGAGTTGGCTCCCGTTGATCCGATTTTTCTTGCGTGATTACGCATCCCTTGGATGCTCGTTTATCATTGACTATTACTATTACTACCTTCAACGTATCTATTTTGTCTCGAATTTGGACCTGATCTCTTCAGGTCGATAAGAGAAGAATAAGTTACAGAAAAATCCAGTAATGGGAAAACATCCAAAATTATGAGCGAATCAATTTAATTTTTTGTCATCTACGAATTTATTAAAATGAATTAATAATATTGCTATCGTTGAAAAATCATTATAATAAGATAATATATATAAAATCTATTTTTAATGCTATATGTTCATAAATTCATTCATAGTTAGTCTATAAAAGTGAATTATTTAATATATATAAAGCATATATTCTTATCATTTAAAAATTATACATCTTCTTTAAAATAGAAATAAAAGAATTGTTTAAATTTTACAACAACTAAATTTAGTTTATTTATACTGAATGATGATGTTAATGAATCTGTCGGTAATATCGACCGCGACTATAAAAAATAAATTAAATTGAATAAAATAAAACTATATATATTTTTAGCAATACATATACTCATTTCCTAAAAATATTTTGTATCATGTCTGTATAAAAATATAATGATTACTATATTCTAATACAAGATATGTTATCACAGTATGGTATTATACATAAATATAATACATAACTTACCAAGCGTCGGCAGAAGACAAAGGCAAAAATAATTTTTTCCTTTTTCTCATATTGTTTCTAAATCTCTTATATTTGTAAAAAATATATACTGGTAAATATTTCTTGTAAGATACTATTTCTCTGTAAAAAGAAAACAATATTTTCAATTTCTTTGACAAATATTATATCCATTATTTTCAAATAATTTTTTTTTATTTATATTTATTAATTTCGCAAACTTATAAATATAATTAATCTGAACAAATGATAGAACATTTGTCCATGTGAATTATACTTTCTTACGGATATATGTATTTATGAATCTCTCGAAAATAGTAAAATTTTTAACACAAAGAAAAATCTCTAAGTATATGTTTAAGTATTTAATGGAAAAAGAAAAATATTTCATTGACTAATACTATATTGTCTAAAAAAAATTTGATTAAACGAAACTGTAATATATTTATTAAAAGTAATATAACATTTAATATAATTTTACATTAGTTTAATTTTTGAAAATTATTTTTTATTATATTGAAAATTATCGATAGAAAAAAAGAATATTCAGTATAAAATATGTGTATATTTATTACAGTAAATTATTATTATTAAAAATTTAAACTTGATTTCTATTAAACTATTACTATTATACTAAATTATTCTGTTATAACTAAATTATTCTATATATAACTAAATTATTACTATTATAATATAAACTTGATTTCGTCTCAAACATT